TCATTCTCCTTACTAGTTATGGGTTAATTCAGATTTTCTGTTTCTTCATGATGCAGTCTTGGTAGGTTTTGTGGTTTTGGACTTTGTTAATTTTGTTTAGGCCATCCAGTTTTTGGGTATGTAATTGTTCATAGAACTCTCTTATTTATATGTGTGTGTGTGTGTGTGTGTGTGTATGTGTGTGTACAAGTGTATGTATATATACACATATATAGGTATTTACACACACACAGACACACACACACACACACACACACGCATATACAGGTACAATTTTTTTTTTGAGAGACAAGGTCTTGCTCTGTTGCCCAGGCTGGAGTGCAGTGGTGCAAACATGGCTCACTGCAACCTTGACTTCCCAAACTAAGATGATCCTCCCACTTCAGCTGCTGGTGTAGCTGGGACTACAGGTGCATGCCACCATGCATGGCTAAACTTTTGTATTTTTTGTAGAGACAGGGTTTCACCATGTTGCTCAGGTTGGTCTTAAATTCCTGTGCTCAAGTGATTTACCCACGTTGGCCTCCCAAAATGTTGAGATTACAGGTGTGAGCCACTGTGCCTGGCCTAAAATACTTTTTATTTTTGAAGAATCAATAGTAATGTGCCCACTTTGATTTCTGATTATAGTAATATGTCTTATTTTTTCTTTTTTCTTTTTTTTTTTCTGAGATAGAGTCTCACTCTGTTGCCAAGGCTGGAGTGCAGTGGCACGATCGTGGCTCACTGCAACTTCCGCCTCCCGTGTTCAAGCTATTCTCCTGCCTCAGCCTCTTGAGTAGCTGGGATTACAGGTGCGTGCCATCATGCCCAGCTAATTTTTGTATTTTTAGTGGAGACAGGGTTTCACCATGTTGGTCAGTCTGGTCTCAGTCTCCTGACCTCATAATCCTCCTGCCTGGGCCTCCCAAAGTACTGGGATTACAGGCATGAGCCACTGTTCCTGGCCTTCTTTTTTTCTTAATCTAGCTAAAGATCTTAAATTTTGTTAATCTTTTCTATGAACTAACTTTTGATTTTATTTTTCTCCATTGTTTCCGTATTATCTATTTTATTTGTCTCTACTCTGATCTTTATTTCCTTTGTTCTGATAACTTTGGGTTTAATTCTTCTTTTTCTAGTTCCTTAAGTTTTAAAGCTAGGTTGTTGTTTGAAATCTTTCTTCTTTTTTTAAATTTTGTTTTGTTTTTTTCGAGACGGAGTTTCACTCTTGTTGCCCAGGCTGGAGTCCAGTGGCATGATCTTGGCTCATTGCAACTGTGCCTCCTGGGTTCAAGCGATTCTCCTGCCTCAGCATCTTGAGTAGCTGGGATTACAGGCATGTGCCACCACACCCAGCTAATTTTGTATTTTTAGTAAAAATGGGGTTTCTTCATGTTGATCAGGCTGGTCTTGAACTCCTGACCTCAGGAGATCCACCTGTGTTGCCCCCCTCAAAGTGCTGGGATTACAGGCGTGAGCCACCATGCCCAGCTGAAATCTTTCTTCTTTTTTAATGTGCATATAGCCATAACATTTTTCCTTTATAAGGGTTTTGATGTACTTTGTAGGTTTTGACATATTAATTTTTATTCATATCTAAGCATTTTCTAATTTCCCTTGTGAATTCTTTCTGTATTTTAGTTTACACAATTTGTGCGTTTTCCAGTCTTCTTCTATTGATTTCTAACTCCATCTGTTTTAGCTGGAGAAGATACATTATACAATACCTATCTTTTACAGTTTATTGAGATTTGATTTGTGCTCACACACAAATGAGACATTTTGGAAAATGTTCCAAATGAACTTGAGAAGAATGTCAATTCTGTTATTGAATGGAATTTTCTGTTTATGTCTTTTAGATCTACTTGGTTTATTGTGTTGTTCTCTTTTCATTTTCTTTTGTGTATCTTGCTTTTTTGTGGGGTTATGATGGGGATTACATTTAACATTCTAAAATTATAACACTTTAATTTGAATTTAGACTAGCTTAACTTCAATAACAAATAAAAATTCTGTTTTTAAACAGATCTATCCCAACCCTCTTTTATAAAATTGTACCTTTTCCCATTGTCTGTCCTGAAACAGAATGATAGGGTTTTAATGCTTTAGTTTCTAAAAATCATGTAGAAAATAAGCGAGGTGTGATGGCTTACTTCTGTAATCCCAGCACTTTGGGAGGCAGAGGCGAATCACCTGAGGTCAGGAGTTTGAGACCAGCCTGGCCAACATGGCGAAACCCCATCTCTACTAAAAATAAAAAAAAAGTAGCCAAGCGTGGTAGTGTGTACCTGTAATCTCAGCTACTTGGGAGGCTGAGGTAAGAGAATCACTTGAACCTGGGAGGCAGAGGTTGCAGAGAGCTGAAATTGCGCCACTGCGCTTAGCCTGGGTGACAGAGCAAGACTCTGTCTCAAAAATAAATAAATAAAATAAAATCATATGCAAAACAAAAAGCATAGTTAGAAACCAAAATTACAATAAGACTAGCTTTTACAGTAGTCTTTTTACATGTATTTATCAGCGATCATTATTTACAGCTTTGAGTTCTGTCTAAGGTTCTTTCATTTTAACCTGAAGGATTTCCGTTAGCATTTCTTGCAGGGTAGGTCCAGTAAAAATGAACTGTCTCAGTTTTTGTTTATCTGATAATATTTTAATTTGCCCCTCATTTTTGAAGGACCATTTGGCTACAGCAAGGATTCTTGGTTGATGCTTTTGTTGTTTCAGCACTTTGAATTTATTAACTCATTGTGTCCAGCTTCCAAAGTTTCTGATGAGAAATCTGCTTATAATTTTATTGGGGATCCCTAGTAGGGGATGATCTGCTTTTCAAGATTCTCTCTTTGTCTTTGGCCTTTGACAGTGTGCCTTGGTATATAGATCTCTCAGTTTTCATACTTGGAGTTTCTTGGATGTTTATATTCATATTCATATCTTTCATCAAATTTGGAAAGTTTTCATCTATTATTTCTTCAAGTTAACCATCTTCTCCTTCTCTCTTTCTTTTCCTTTTGGGACCGTACAGTGTGTATATTTGTAAATCTATGCAAGGGCCGCATGAGACCAAAAGGTTTTCAGAGATAAAATCTTTCCCTGCCTCTTTCAAATCCTTTGTTCTTTCTTTTTCTCTGCCTTCTCCCTATTTTCTCCCCCAACCTTCTGTTGGTCTCATGCTCTGCTATAATCTGGGACAATACTGCCTGCATGTATTTGCTTTTGAGATAGAAGGAATAATGGACTTAGTTATGGATTAGCTTTACTCTAAGAGTATTAGCCCTTTAAATTCCCAGTTTATTGTGGGAAGTGTCTCCTATAAAACTGTCTACTCTTAATGGGCTCTGGGCTTGATGTATGCCTCTCCTTGATGCCATTTAATCAAATACATGTGTGCTAGTGTTGGCAAATGTTAGCAGCGCAGTAACACCTTTAGTCCTCAGTTTATCAAATAATTTAGCTTAGTAGTTGTAAGGTTTTGAATGCTTTTAAGATGGTATTTTAAATATTTTACCCAACATTTTTAGGAATATTCCATGGATAATTACTCTGAATAACTTAGTCTGCCATTATCAGAAAACTTTAGTAACTTCTTCAGTGTTATATTCCAGTTTGTAATTTATCTTATTAGCCAGATCTAATTGGCTGTTAAAATTTGTATATCAAGTTTAAAAATTTTGATTATCTTATTGATTGATTGAAGCTCTATTTTTTCTTCAGTTCAGCCTGGTCAGTTTATCATCTTGCTGCTTAATCCTATTTTTGATAACTTTATTTCTCTGAGCATAAACGTGTTATATTCTGTTTTGATTATTCCAATACCTGAGGGTTTTGCAGGTCAGATTATGCTTTCTGATATTTGGCTGGCTTTTATTCTTGGTAGTTTATTTCTTACGTGAATTTTTCATAAAATAATTTCTTCTTTTATGAATTTTTCTTTTAAAACTATGAGCACATGTTGATGGAAACATGGGAGTTCCTTGAGGTCTGGGTAAGCTAAGGCCAGTTTATTATTTATTTTTTATTTATTTTATTTTATTTTATTTTATTTGAGACAGAGTTTCGCTCTTGTTACCTAGGCTGGAGTGCAATGGCGTGATCTTGGCTCACCGCAACCTCCGCCTCCTGGGTTCAGGCAATTCTCCTGCCCCAGCCTCCTGAGTCGCTGGGATTACAGGCACGCGCCACCATGCCCAGCTGATTTTTTGTATTTTTAGTAGAAACGGGGTTTCACCATGTTGACCAGGATGGTCTCGATCTCTTGACCTCGTGATCCACCCGCCTCGGCCTCCCACAGTGCTGGGATTACAGGCTTGAGCCACCGCGCCCGGCAGGCCAGTTTATTTTTCTAGAGAGTATTTGCATTTGTGTTTGGAGGCCCTCTGAAGCACTGTTACGCTGAGATCACTTTTTTATCTCCAGGTCTCACAGGTGATAAGAATTCTATTGGAAGCATATCTAAATGCCCTCATTAGTTATATGAAATTTCTAGGGAGATGTTTCCTCTTTACATCTAGAACCAAAGCTGAGATTTGCAAGTTTTCTGGGTTAAAAAATGTTTTCTTTATTTTTGATTATTTTTTGGTGCCTGGTGGCGTTTTTCTCATTCTCGTGTCCACGGGGCGTATTATCCTTTGTGACTCTCTCCTTTCTTTGTGGATAATCTCCAGTGTGTTTTCTCACACTGCATTGTGCTGAAGTTTCGTCTCTTGTCTTCTACGTGCAGAGATCTTTAAAACCACAGTTGGAGGAGGCATGCATCATTAGATGCCCCGAGGTAGTATCTACCTACAGAACTCCCTTTTTTCTCAGGGTTTGACCTTTTTCTTAATTTTAAAATCTTAGTTTATTTCTCTTATTCTCCAACTATCTCTGTATACATTGAAGCGACTTTTTAAACCCTTAATTTAACATTCTTAAGGAGTTTCTTCTGGGAAGGCTCTTCAGGTATCTTATTTGACCCATTGCCCTAATATTTCTTAAGTGTTATATTTAATGTTTTTTTTTTTTATTTTATTTTATAGGATTCAGTTTAGCTGCATTTAAAAGAAACAAGAGGAAACTAGAGCTGGCAGAAAGGGTGGAAACAGATTTTATTCAACTAAAGAAAAGAAGACAATCAAGTGAAAAGGTCAGGAGGTGTTTGAAGTATTCAAATTGATGTACCCTCATGAGATATCTTCTGCATTTAGACACAAGCTTTAGGGCAGCACTATTCAGTAGAAATAGAATGTGTGCCACGTGTGTACTTTAAAGTTTTTCAGTAGCTACATCAAAAAAATACATGTTTATAAATATTAGGCTTATAAAAGAGAAAAAGAAAGTAGACAGAAACAAGGGAAATTAATTTTAATAATATATTTTATTTAAACCAGTGGATCTAAAATATAGCTTTGAAATGTAATTAGGGAAAGAATTATTAATGAGCTATTTTATATTTTACATTATCTTTTTTAGTATGAAGTCTTCAGAACCAGTTTGAATTTTCCACATCTCAATTATAACATTAAATTTTTTTTTTTATTTTTGAGAGGGAGTCTTGCTTTGTCGCCCATTCTGGAGTGCAGGGTGCGATTTTGGCTGACTGCAACCTCCACCTCCTGGGTTCAAGTGATTCTCCTGCCTCAGCCTCCCCAGTAGCTGGAATTATAGGCATGTGCCACCACACCCAGCTACTTTCTTTGTATTTTTAGAAGAGATGGGGTTTCGCCCTGTTGACCAGGCTGATCTTGAAGGAATCCGCCTACCTTGGTCTCCCCAAATGCTAGGATTACAGGCATGAGCCACCACCCCTGGCTAACACTAAATTTTTATTAGAAATATTTGATCTATATTTATATTTCATAAAAATTAACTGTTGAAATAGTAAATTTACATACGAAGTTATTATAGGTATACTTAAATCTTTCTGAATAGTTAATATATTATAAATTAACATTTTATAAAATTAAAAATTCAGCTTTCCATTTGTCCTTGCCTCTTTTTAGTTTCTGAATAGCTGCTTGTGGCTCATGGCTACAGTTTGGTTCTTACAGTTCCAGATAGTGATTCTTAACATGATTGTTTAGGGAGTAGAGTGTAAGTATAAGAAAATATACATGTTGGATTCAGATGTTTTCAGGGATAGAAACAAGTTGAAAACTACAGCATTCTTGCCCAGCCTGTGGCTTAGGGGTCCCTTCCATATGGCTCATGGTGGGTGTTCCAGGTCACATAATCATTTGATGTACCTTAGCATCTATCAATATGCTTTATTGTTTAGTTCTTCTGTAATGGATACATACTGTTTTGTCCTTTTTGTCATAGTTTTACATGGTTTGCCTATATATAAATGCATAATCATCTTTTGTAGTGATGGATATTTTCTTAGTGTGTTGCCGTGAGACAATCAGTTTGGCACAAAGCTTTTTAATTTTCTGCCAGCAAAGAGCAAGAATTTAGAAGGCAAATGAACAAATTAATAAGTAGATCTTGATATGATGATGGATAGACTGTTTCTTGGGTATCTGCCTTGGATGTGATGTGTGGGTGAATGAATTCAGGACTTTTTTGCCTTTTTAAATTTATGATAGGCTGAGTGCAGTGGATCATGCCAGTAATCCCAATACTTTGGGAGGCTGAGGTGGGTGAATTACTGGAGCCCAGTAATTGAGACCAGCATGGACAACATGGGAAACGCTATCTCTACAAAAAATACAAAAAATTAGCTGGATGTGATGGTACATGCCTGTGGTCCCAGCTACTAGGGAGGCTGAGGTGGGAGAATCACCTGAGTCTGGGAAGTCAAGGCTGCAGTGAGCTATGATCATGCCATTGTGCTCTAGCTTGGGTGATGGAGTGAGATCACATCTCAAAAAAAAATTGTAAGGCCGGGTGTGGTAGCTCACGCCTGTAATCCCAGCACTTTGGGAGGCCGAGGCGGGTGGATCACGAGGTCAAGAGATCGAGACCATCCTGGTCAACATGGTGAAACCCCATCTCTACTAAAAATACAAAAAATCAGCTGGGCATGGTGGCACGTGCCTGTAATCCCAGCTACTCAGGAGGCTGAGGCAGGAGAATTGCCTGGACCCAGGAGGCAGAGGTTGCGGTGAGCCGAGATCGCGCCATTGCACTCCAGCCTGGGTAACAAGAGTAAAACTCCGTCTCCCCCCCCAAAAAAAAAAAAAAAAAATTGTAATAAAATTTGCAGAGTAAATGATTTAATCAGTTTTTATTGACATATATACCCATGTAAACCATACGCCTATCAAGATATATAATATTTCCAGTTCTTCTATGCTTCTTCCCAGTTAATCTCCAACTTATAGGCAGCCATACACACACATGTAAATAGCCATTTGCCCATATATAAATGCATAATAAATCGTCTTTTGTAGTGATGGATATTTTCTTAGTGTGTTGCCATGAGACAGTCAGTTTGGTGCAAACCTTTTTAATTTTCTGCCAGTGAAGAGTAAGAATTTAGAAGGTAAATTAACAGATTAATAAGTAGATCTTGATATGATGCTGGATAGTCTTGGGTTTCTTGGGTTTCTGCATCGAGTGTGATGTGTGGGTGAATGAATTTAGGACTTTTTTGCCTTTTTAAAAATTTATGATAGGCCGAGTGCAGTGGCTCAGGCCTGTAATCCCAGTACTTTGAGAGGCCAACGCAGGTGGACTACTAGAGCCCAGGAGTTGAGACCAGCATGGGCAACATGGGAAACCATGTTCTGATTTTTATTACAATAAATACTTTTTCTTGCTCTGAACATTATATAAATGGAATTATACAGAATGTACTCTTTTCTGTTTGGCCTCTTTCACAAAAAGCTTTTATTAAATGTTGTATCACTGGTTTATTCTCTTTTATTACTAAGTAATATTTCCTAATATGAATATACATTGATTTGTTTACCTGTTTTCATGTTGATGGACATTTGGTTTGTTTCCAGTTTTCTATTACGAATAACCTGCTATGAAATTCTCATACTGGTCTTTCTGTGGACATCAGGTTAGGATTTTTATGTATAGCAATTTCACTGCATCTCATAGAAAAGATCTTCAGCTAGAATTATTCAAGTAGTTCATTTTTCCATTCAGGAAATGGTACTGAACTGGGTACTTTCTTATAACTGTAAGAAAATAATGGTGAACAAGATGGAGGAAGCTCATGCTGTAATGAGACCTTACATTTTAGCAGAAGGAGACATATTAGCATATAATTAAGATAGCTGGTAACTGTTATGAAGGAAAAAAAGAACAAAATGATGTGACGTAGAGCAACTTGGATGTGAGAGTCTGAAGGAAGACTTTATTAAATAGAATGATCAACAGAGACCCCTGTGAGGAGACAACATTTGAGGTGACATCTGAAAATTGAGTGACTTTTATGAAGAGTCAGTGGATGAGTGTTCCAGGCAGAATGAGCTGCATGTGCAGAGGCTCTGTGGGGTTTGGCGTATTAAAGGAATGCAGAGGGAGAGTCAGTGTGCCCAAAGGCAGAGGGAGAGTCAGTGAGCAGGGGGAGAATGGTATGAGATGAAGCTGCGGAAGTAGGTATGGGCTAGCTCCTGGTAGATCATGGCAAGGAGTTTTAATTTTATTCAAGAATAATGGCTAGCCACCGAAGAATTTGAAGTAGGGAAGCAGTGCTGTCTCAAACACATTTTGCAAACTTCTCTATGGGCTACTATGTGAAGAATCAGTCCAAGGGGGAGGTAAGAATAGAAGTTGGTAGACTAATTAGGAAGTCATTACAGTTAGGCGATTATGGTACCTTGGACTATAGGTGATAGGTGTGGAGATGAAGATAAGTGAATATATCCAGAAAATATTTTGAGGTTTTCTAGAAAGACAATATTGATGCCTTAGTTATTGGTAAGACAGAGAGGAATTAAGGGTTTTAGCTGAGCAGAGGATTTAAGGGTTTTAGCTGAGCAGTTGGATATTGCCATTTACTAAAAGAGTAGAACTGGGGAAATACGGCTTCCTGGTGGTAGAAGTAAGCAGTGGAAATCAAGACCTTTCTTAACTCATCTCCAACCTAGTGGTCTCAGATTGACCAGTGCTTTCCATTTTCACCATAAAACATATTACTTAATGCCAATAGCGCCTGAAACACCCAAAGCTAATAGAATACCTTTTGGTGTGCCATCTGCCTCTGTTCCTTTCAGTTGAATTATATGCCACCAATATCCTCATTATGCTTGCTGTTTTAATCATTGTTGTTACATAATTCATTGTCTCAAGTAAACTGATGAGCAGTAAGTTTAAAAAGAGAGTTATCTGTTTGAAAACTAAGAGAATAGTCTGAAAACTAACTTGGAAAAGCTGAGTTGTTTTATGAAAAATTGCTGTAGAATTAAATGTGGGCAAGCCCACTATAAAAGATTGACAAAAATAATAAAAATCTAGAAGCATTCTGTATTTGGAATGCTTTGTTGGTGTCTTTATGTTCTCTCTTTTTTTTTTTTTTTTTTTTTTTGAGACGGAGTTTCGCTCTTGTTACCCAGGCTGGAGTGCAATGGCGCGATCTCGGCTCACCGCAACCTCCGCCTCCTGAGGCAGGAGAATTGCCTGAACCCAGGAGGCGGAGGTTGC